GACATCACACCAACCAACTCGCGCGCAAAGTAAGAAGACTATGTTGAAGGCTTGAAATTATATTACGATCGATTTTCATCAAGAAATAGGCCAGGAATTTTCCACAATAGTGCAAATAATCGTGAAGGCTGATCGCGGAAAAGCGATTGCGTGACGCTCGGTAAGCTGTAAGATGACATGTTATTATATACCAGACGTAAAAACTCTTCAGGTTCTCAGTCTGCATTTTTTTACCCACTCTGCAGTCTATATTTTGTATCCGGTCTGCAGTCTGCTGTCTACATTTTGTACTAACAGGTATCCGTGGCACAAATACAGTTTATTTTTGGTTACATTTATTCGCACAACACACATAATCTACCACAAAATACCTGTGCGTGAGGTAATTCGACATTTTCATTCTTTCCCGCGTTAATAATCTTTTTTCCTTTTGTAAGAATGTAGACCACTTACAATGTTTCAAGTAATCCATGAGACAGGTGTATGCCCTTGGCCAGACTTGAGCTCACTATTTCAGTATACTAGTCCGACACGCGTAGTATCACTACACTTGATTCCACGGATCCAGTACCATCCAGGTATCCCAGTTACCCTGCTCACAGGGTCTAGTCTAAATTTACTATCGCGGCTTATCAACATTTGTCAACCATTAGTTGATATCAAACCAGCTAAGTGGACTCTGCTTGTTCGCGTACATGAACCCACCGACCGAAAAAAAAGGAAAAAAGCCAATTAGGCTTTCCAGCGAGTCTCCTCCTTTTGGACACTTGCATCATTCCAAAGGTTAATTTATTTTTGATGAACCGTTGTTAGAAGAATGCCTACGATTGTCTGTTTCGTTCAATTTCAACCTGTTTTTCTTTGTATCGCGGGCAGACACCTAAACCCGGCGAGCTTCAGTATGCTGAGCTTGGTGAACTGACTGGTCGTGGACAGAAGGCAACAATGCCACGTGTTAGTGGTACGGATACTGTGTATGCGGACATTAAATCGTAGAGGATGTGTGCAGCTACTGTACAGCTCAGAAATACTTGGCCCTAAATGCGCGTTGAAAAAGCGCGCACACGCGTGTAGTTTTTTCAAACGCACTCAAAAAACGCGCGCGAAATAAGCTCATTAGTATGTATGAAGCAGTCTTTTGTTTTACCCTTTGTTTAATTTTATATTACTGAAAACATTGCGTTTTAGCTTGTATTTAGCATTTTAGCACAGATTCCAGCGCTATTTCACGGGTGATCTTTCTTTCACATTTTAAGAATTTTCAATATTAACTGGGTCCAATTCATTATGGTACCATTGGAAATATCATCCCAAAGGGTTGCGAATTGCACTAGTGATTGACATTTTGTAACAATGACTTTGCTTAAGAGTTCGACTTTGCTTAACAATTACTTTGCTTAAGACATCCAGAATTTTTCCAGTGTCCATGCTGATGGCAGTGACACAACCATTTAAAAAGGAAAAACCTCTTCTTTGCCAGGTGCCATCACAAGATACACCACACTTTACTAATCCATCTTGAAATGCTGGTTGTAAGCAGTGGATTTTTTTCTGCGGCACTGGTCATTGTTTCCATCGCAACTGCTTTTGCTGTCTTGAGCAACGCCTTGCATTGTGAAAGGCATGCAGTGTTTACCTTGGAGGTTGAGGCATGTTCGTTAGCTGGAAAAATCGTTTGGTTGCTGCGAGTCTACAGCCAATTTATCGCATGCCATAAACAAGTCTGCTGTTGACTTCAAAACATCGCTGATTAGGGACTTTGAGATACGTGATAGAGTCCTTGACCCAGCCACACGAGACACGAAACAAGCGAAGATGGTTGGCACATCCTTTCCGTTTAAGAGTTTGCTCTTCCAAAATCAAATTGCATTCAGAGCACTCCTTACATTTCAGCAAGTTCGCACTGGATATTCTAAAAAGCGTAGATTTCATGGAAATCAGCATTCAAAGAAGAAGCCAAGGCGATGGGATTCCTTCGACTGCAGACACAGAAACCAGAAACTCAGCCTCTGCTTGCAAAATTCCGCTCCGCAAGCAGTCCGAATCGTCTAATCGTGAAGTACTGGCTTTCGTTTAGTCGACATGGAAATATTGAACTTTGTATTGAGAATTTTACCGTGTATGGAGAACTTTGCTTGTTTTGTGTCTCGTGTGGTTCATGCATTCATTCATTCATTCATAATCTTTATTTAAGTGTCTAATCGTTCTAGTGCCTATCTAGTGCCACCCAACCCAACCCAGGGGAGGACATCTATCACACAGTAATCTCGTGCGTGGGAAATTAACGTCTCCTACCCCAAACCCTGCAGGAGACGGTTTTACATCTTATCCGAGAAGACGAAGCAAGGTAAGTGAAGCGACTTGCTTAAGGCCACAACGTAGTGCCCCATCCTGGACTCGAACCCGGGCCGTCCGACCCAGAATCCAGCGCTCTGACCACTGGGCCACTCACGCCTGGTTGGGTGGAGGACTTTATCACGTCTCTCAAAGTCCCTAATCCACGATTTTCTGAAGTCAACAGGAGACTTTTTTATGGCATGCGATCAATTGGCTGTGGACATTTCAGATAATAGGAAAATGGTTTAGTTCAGTCGTACCTTTACATTCACACGTACGATTCAAGTAAAACGAATCAAATTCGAACAGTTCGAACAGTAGCGGCGGTCTTTCCTACTTGTAAACAAATATGTCTTTAGCTTGACGTTAACCACAAACGGCAGAATGGAATCTGATTTTCTTCACTTATCCTCTGAACCTCAAATCATCCATGTAAAACATTAGGAAAATGTCTTCTGTTCCAGGAAACTGCAAATAATTTCACATAACTTTATTGACAATTGAATGCAAACGATTCAAGTTTTGCTGCTAGCCGCTAACCTTAACCTTTTACGACAACGCCTTTATTGAACTTGATCTTCCCTGATCTTGTTCGCTTTCTAAAGAGGTACCCAGCGGGTCAAAAACTTTTTCCTTTTTCTTCACCATGCAGGCAAGCCATTTCGAGAAAAAACTACGTAATGTCACCAACATCGGAATCCCTCTTTTATTATAAATTTAACACACCATTCAAAGTTAAAAAGGGGTAAAACAAAAGACTGCTTCATACATACTAATAAGCTTCTTTCGCGCGCGTCTTTCGAGTGCGTTTGAAAAAGTTGCACGCGTGTGCGCGCTTTGTTCTAACGCGCTTTTCGCGTGCATTTATGGCCAAGTACCTCTAAGCTGTACTGTATATGTGATATTGTTCTTAAGTGCCTGTTCCTTCAGATGCTATCAAAACTGCTAAATGTTTTCCCATTGACGGCACAATAACATTTTTTCGTGATGTTCATAGCTTTCTAAGCTTGACAGTAAATCATTTTTGTATAATTTGGTAAAGTGGAATGTACTTCAGCAGTTTTGTGTGTACAGCTGGTTTAACTTGATCACCGAGCTTTCAGTTTCCCTTTAATTAGCTGTTTAGCCTATAACAATTTAGAATAGATATTCTAGCGGAACCGCTGGCAGCTTAAAAGTATATTTTCGTAATAATCACAAAATGGTGTTACCTAGTGGCTAAGCCATTGATTTTCACATTATTTTAAACATCCCACAATTTATCCAATAATTTGCTGGGTGAGTAAATTTTCAAACAAGTAAATTTTATAAAATACTGCAGTTTAGTAGAAAAATTCTTAATATCCGATTCGAGATATGCAAGGATGTGTGGTGAGTCGAATGTGATGACCCTCTTTCCATGTCTCCATTTCTCGGTGAAAATTGGAGCAGATCGTAGATGTAAACGAGCGCCTTTAACGTTAAGGTTATTTCCTTTAATTAGGAGATTTGTGAAACGACTATTCCAATGAAAGATCTGGGAAATTTTGTGCGAGTTTGTCTTTTGAGGCTCTTTTTTTTTCTAATGTTTCTTCTTTCAAATAATCTCTAAACATTTCAGCGCTATTTTTAGTCAAAGGTAGAATCATTATCTGTTGATTTTTTTTATATGAGAATGTTTTGAGTGTAATTTCATTATAAAGTATCGTGCAAGAGCATAATACTTTTGGGAATTTTATATTTGGCATATTTTTCTTTGTGATTGTGATTTGTCTTTCCATTTTTCTTGATTAATCATAATGTTAATTTTCCTCGTTAATTTGAGCGTAATTTCTCTTTAAAGATTTTTTTATTAGAATTGTATATAGGATGGGTGTATCTTCTTTCTCAAATGTTTAAATGGCAGAAGAACTAAAAAACCTTTACTATTGGTTTTGCCGTCAGGGAAATTAAGAAGGAATTAATTGATATACCTAGACCTTTCTTTTTTGTGGTGTTGAATCATTTCTTTGGTTGTTTTTTTCCACTCTTAACAGTTATAAGTATATGTCTGAGTATTTGGTGTCATAACGGCGCGTCCCGGTTAGCTCAATTGGTTAGAGCGCCGGACTGTTGTGCGGGAGGTCGAGGGTTCGAGCCCCGGCCGGACCAACACTCAAGGTCTTAAAAGGTTACCTTAGGCTACCTTTCTATAATATCAAGAAATGGCTAGATATTTAAATATAACCAAAATAATGAGTATAACTATTGATTACACAGCAGATGGTTGTGGTCAGATCATGTTACTGAAAATTTGAATTTGTTCCTAGTTTCAGAACACGTTTGTATGTGCTTGCTCAGCACATTGAGCATACGAGAGATCTTTTCTCGATTTATTGCATTCAATTACCGTAGAAGTGTTTGTTGATCATAGCAAGTCATTTTAACGAGTTCCTGTTACGAAGGATTATGATGATAAAAAAATGTTAAATCATTGTATTCTATAAAGTTGTAGCTAATTTTAAGGTAATAATTTTTTTATGTTTATGAAAAGTTTAGATTTCAGTAGATTTACTGCTAGATTGTAGCCACGTCAGTAAGTTTTATAAGTTTCAAACTGCATGGCATTGTACCAGCCAAGCAGTGCCTATCGAGTGTTACCTGGAGTAAGAACATCGCGCAGCCTGCCTATTGTTTTCGAGAAATTTACTTCCAGATTATAGATCTGTAGTAATTTTGGCGAAACTTGACCTGGAGAGCTCTTATCATTAAAAGATTACGTGCGTTTCCCTTCCCGATCCTTTGAAAGAATAGAAATAGGATTAAATAAAAATCCAAACCGGTGATTAATTGTTGTTCAGAGGGAGGTTCTTACTCAGGAATTACACGCGAGATATTGTAGCCTATTAGCTGCTTCACTTTATTCATATATACTGGAAGCCGTTTTTATTAATAACCTTATTTACATTAACTAACTACAGGCATAATAATTGCATTTATATTTACTGCAAACAGTTCTAATCAGTGCGAGACAGTTGCCCTTAACTTTCTATTTTGCTGTCCATCTATGGAGAGGCGAGGTCGTTCCATTTGTAATAGTGACACGACTCTCTCTGCAACGTCCTTTAGAAATGGGTATTTGTCACGCTGATACTGAATTGCTATCAATTATAGCTTCTATATTGTGTAGAATTTCTGCTTAATAAATGCTGATAAAATCAATTTGGTTGATTTTGTTTGGTGTTTTAAATAATCATTTGAAAGCGAAGGATACAGGTGCGCCGTGAAAAATTGCAACTTCGAAAGTTGTTTACAAATTTCCTTTACAAGAGAGGTGCTTAAATAAAGAGTCGACACAATATGTTAAGTTACAGCAAACAGAAAGCGGGAGAATCATAGGTAAATTGAGACTTCAAAGGAAAGTCTCCACGACGAAATCGTCGACGTTTGCGTTGAGCTGCTTGTCGTAAATTTTCATGTCGATGAATTTCTGCAAAGGAAGCAACAATTTGCTTTAGAGGATGATGACAATGGATGATATCAAATTTATTACAGAGGGGGAAATATTCGTTTGTGGGTAACAAAAGAAGGTCTTAAAACAACTTCTCAGAAAAAAGTGGTCATTTTGTTTTCAAACTTTTGTTGCCTCAAATTGATTAACCCTTTACACCCTGAGATAATTTTGCATCTTCTCTATTCTTTTCTCTATAAATTTCCAATGGCACTTGAAGGAGAATTTGTTCAACAATCAATGGGTTTTGAACTTGGTGATCATTTCCTTTGTTCTCATGACCTTAGTGTTTCATTCAGGGGTGATACTGTGAGGAGAATTTAGTTGCTAGTCACTTCTAGGGGCTGAAGGGTTAAAAGAGGCAAAAGTGTAGCATAAATATAATAGTTTTAAACAACTTACTAATTTTTGCAGCAAAATTGAAGTGAGTTGCAGGAAAAACCATGATTTGGGGAAGAAGAATGTAGCAGAACTCCATTTCAGGTAATAAGGGTAAGGTAACATGAAGGAAACTCAAAATTAGCTAGCTTTTGGAGCAAGCTAAGAAATGTCAGACAAGTCAGAATAGCAAAGTGGTGTGTTGAACTATTAAGCATGTTTGTCTCTCCCAAGAGGGGGTTTTAATCTTGTTGTGTTTACTTTGAATCAAAATTCACCCTTATTAAGTCTGTGCTATTAGCCTTTGTCCTTGAAACATTGCTAAGAGTTAATAAATCTCCACCTCATGTAAGGTTTCCTCATCTTTCAGTAAGTTCTTTTATTCAGTGAATGTTAGTCTTGCATCTGCGTCATTTTGCCAGCATCTCATCATGATCTGGTACCTGGTGTTTGTGAAATGGAATGTGCTTCTTAACCATTAAAATATTCAAATGAAATCAGGAAATTAACAATTAAGACATCAATCATGTGTGGCTCAACACAAGCTATCTTGGAAGGAGCTATAGATGAATGATACTATTACTCCTCAAAATGTCATGCATCTGTATGCAATTTATCTATCCTCTCTTTGGGAAGTTGGAAAAGTGACACAACCTCTATAACACACAACTCCATTGTAAAATTCTGTGCAATGAAGTTGTATTAGCTCACTGTTTACCTTTACCATGACATAAATAAAATACCTTTTATTCCAATTGACAATTACATAAGTTTACTGTTCATACAACAGATGATGAAGATCTACCTGAAGGGCCATCCCCTGCAGGCAGCGATTTGGATTAGTGTCCACTGTAGAGTAATATTTTCTTTTCTCCTATAATTCTATGATTGAACCACAAAATGTCATGCACCTGTAAACAGTAAATAGTCTTTCCCCTCAGTAGAAGTTAGAAAAAGTGACATCATAGCCTCCCTGAAATACAACTTTCCTGGTAAGTTTAAGCAATATGAAATGATGTTTTGTTAGCGAACTGTTTTTCCCTTGGCCATTTCCAATAAAGTAGAAGTTCATAATTTGCATTGTTATTGCTTGGTTCAGTATTGTAACTTCAAAGAAACCTTTTCTAATACAGTTATAGAACTTATGCAATGTTTTTAATAAACTTGTTCAAAACAAGGATCCTTTTTTCATAAAATAGATGTGGACAAGCAAAATGGACAAAAAGGAAAAGGGTGGAAGAGATGGAATAATAAAATGAAATGAGTAGTAACCTAACAACAACTGACATTACAATAAGCTGAGATAACATTTGTTTTAAATGTCATTTTCCACAGTATTCAGAAATCTTAATTTATCATGCTCATGCAAAAGAAATTAAATTTTAGAAATAATATGGGTTCCAAGAAATATTCCTTAATCTGTAGGAAATAGAGATTATTCCATGGAAAGTGTGCACAAATTAGTTTTATTGCTTCAAAAAAAATCCCTATTTGTATTAAAATAAATTTCATTTCTTAACAATTCTCAAATAGAAGATAAAGATAATTTCTCAAAGATTTAAAGGTGAGAAGGAGAAAAAAAAAGTGATACTTTATGATTGTTTTTTACTGTTTACAAAGAAATTAAAATTAAATGAAGATCAAATAAAAGCCCCTTGAACATCCATTGTCATGATTTCCAATACATACACAAGTCATATTCAATGACTATTTTTAATTCCAATTACATATAAACTGCAGTGCAGGTATTGGAGGAAAGATAAAAATTGATGATAATAAAAATAAGAATTTAAGGGTAATAGGGTTATTTATTTAGATCTTGGAAGTATAGTTGTCAATTGGGTAACATCTCCTTGTAAGAACATAGTCTTATTACAACTTCTAATTAATTTCTTTCCTTTTTTTTTCCTCTCAAAGAAATAAAAAGTGTTTCAGTTGTGGAGGCAAAGGCCACTCCTACAAGGAGTGTGCCTCTCCCTATGAAAGAGAAAGAGGAGGAAACAGAAGAGGCCAGAGAGGAGGAAGAGGGGGGCATTGTGGAAGTAGCCAGGGGGGTGTACATGGTGGCCATGCTCACCACATCACCTTAAATTTTTATTCAAAATAATAAAATGGAATCAACTGTCTTTCTTTCATTTTATAGATGTCATTGCAGCAGATAAATTGAGCTATACCTGCAAATAAAAATTTCTTACTGAGCCTGAGCGACATACTAGAGAACATTTCCCCGAGGTCATGCGAGCAAAGTTAACAAGTGATGTATTACATTCAGTCATTTCTCCAAAATCTTACACCTAGGACTAGCTTGGAAAAATTCAATAGAATTGAAAACCATCAGCTATCACAGACATGTTTAGTGATGTCTATGGACATTCCACCACATAGGCTGATTTATGTATCGGTGACACTGACTCGTAGGGTAACGTGTGTATTACATTGTACTGTCCAAGAGTTTCTCAGAGTTTCTACAATAACCTTGTTCTTTTTTAATTATTGTAAGCCCTGGATGGCGAAAACATGGAACGATTACCAAAAGTAAGGTCCAAGAATTAACATACAAATTATTATCAAACGCAAATAACTTAAATAACAATTTTCTTCCTCGTCGTTGACAGTCTTTATCAGAACGCAGCACTAATAAAAGAAACGAGGAGCGAGGCTAACTGACAAAAGCAACTATGGAATACTATTCATATATTCTCCTCGGGGACAAAGCTGCGAATTACTTGGTACTTACCTCTCCTGAATGAGTGAAAGTCGGTAATGAAGACTTGCAAGAAAAACGCCGCCCTACGAAAGGCTAGCACAAGATATCCAATGTAAGATAGAACTTTTACGGCTGATAAGAGGAGAAATACAACGCATTTACGTTTCACATGAAAATTTGAAGTGAAGTGGTGAATTGGCGATTGCTTATGCATTCTGGGAAAGCTAAACGTAAGCTCTCATTGGAGCAATATAGAGGTGTGACGGAGGTGTGTCCATAACCATGGTTACGGAAATAAATTTTTTCAACCTCCGCGGCGGAATACTGCAGGAGAGAAAATATTGACTCGTGTATTTGCTTTGATTGCATCTGATGGATTTATATTTAATGCGGATATATTGCAGCAACAACATCACATTGATAAACATTCTATCTCTGAAACGTAATTTATTGGCTCCACTACCGTAAGCAGGGTTTTTGTTAAGACTTTTAGTAACAGGGACCTTTTCCAAAGTAAGAGGGACCAAAATGGCGGCTCTGCCACCATTTCTTGCCACGTAGTGGCAAGTGGTGGTAGGTGTGGGAGGGGGTCGCCCACTCCCACTGGGGGGGTTCGGGGGGCCTCCCCCGGGAAAATTTGAAAATTTTAGGTCCAAATGGGTGCATTTGAGGCTACTTTTGCACACTTTCTGTTCTTATATTGGCTGATATAATATAGCATTTGTTACTATGAAACATGCAACTTGTAGTACGGATTACATACCAAAATGCTTAAGAAATAAATGAAAACTTTGACTTTTTCACAATTTTAATAATTATTTATTTTCAAAGTTGTAAAGTTCACATGGTATAAATCTTTAATACTCCTATATAAAACACATACCTTTCAGCTTCAATAATCCATAATGTATCTTTCTGCAGTCAGGATGCTCTTCATATGTCAAGAACTGGTGTTTTCTTGTTTTAAATTCACAAGTAAAAAATGATGAAGGCACTACACAGGAGTGTCGAAACGTTGGGCCTATGAATTGTAGCTTCTTCGGTTACTTTCATTAAATCTGTAAACCAGAGTAGCATTAAACCATGTCTGATTGTCAACCGGGTTACCGTGTGAACTTTAATAGACTAAATTAATATACTAAATTACTTGTTATACTCTCCCACCGATCTGCGGCAGCCTCGTTTCCATGTATTTTCGTCCTCAGGGGCTCTTCATCAAACGTCCCGAGGACTAAAACAATTCTAGAACCATTGACAGTCGGATCTTAAAGTTCGACAAGCTTATTTTTACAAACATTAGAGCATCGCGCTTCTACACGTCATTGCAGGGTCCATTTTATAGAAAAAAAACATAGTTGTCTTATCACGACAACTCCCTGATCATGAGTTTCAAGGCGCGTTAAAAAAAGATAGTTTAAACATATTTATGCGAACAGAAAGTTTAGAACCGGTGGAAAGACAGAATACAGATGCGGAAAGAGAATTAAAATCACGGAAAGACTGGTTGTGTGAAGGAAAAGTTAAGGGTCTTTGATGAACACTTAAGAGTCGTAAAGAGAAGTAACGGCGCGTAAAGATTAATTGTGCGTAAATAATGTTAAAGGTTCGTAAAGGGCAGTGAGTAAAGATGCGTAAAGAATATTAAAGACGCGTAAAGTGTTAAAAGCGAAACTGGTCAAAATACCTCGGTAATTCTACTGAAGATGGATGAGCCATCATTATTTCACTTCTTTGAGTAGTTCTCCAAATATAAATTGCTTAATTATATCCATCTTGATCCTTATCCTTTACGAACATTTAATATCCTTACGCAGTCTTTACGCTTTCTCTGCAATTACGCATCTTTACGGAACGCGGAACTTGTCCGTAAAGAAGAGGCTTTATATTTACGTTTCTTTACGCAAGAGTTAAAGATGCGTAAATTTGCGATTTGCAATGGCCCAGGAAGATGGGCTCGTTCTAAATTAATTTTTCGAATTTCAGCCCTTTGCGATGTTGGATTATCTGTGCATGAAATCTGCATAGAGTCTTCCTGCAAAAGACGCCATGACAGCTGTTCAGATAGATCCATCATATAGGATTCACAAATCATCGCACGTACGGTATTCTTTCGATGCGCCGCTGACCAATCTTATAAAGATTAGTTAGGAGAGATAGAGACTCTGGGAGGGCCTCACTCGCGGATTTGTTTGGTGGGGCGACGGGAAAAGCTGAATATATTTCATGTGTCAAATCATTTTACATAAATCCTCGTTTCCCAAAGATGAGTACTTTACTGAACGAGCTTATGAAGATAGAGAAAATGTATATGGAGTTCTTTTACTTCTGTGAAGAATTGGTATTGAGATGAGAAACCCTTCC